TTGTTCATTGCAAGCTTGCAGTTTCTGCTACTGCACCCTGCCACGGCTCTGTGCCTCTCTTACAGAGATCAGTGTATCCGGGACCTGTTCTACATCCTACTTGGTGCCCTGCAAGCATTTCAACAGACTGGGGGACATTTTGCATGCCCATCTGTGGTTGACCTGCAAGATCCTTATGCTGGCACATACCCTCCTGCTCAGGAGTCTGACGATGAGCCATGAAGGGTTATTTCCCAGATCATGCAGCCACCAGCTTCCCTGGAGGTGGCCTATGACTTCCACCTGGCTGAAGAACATGTGGGGCCCTTGGATGCTATTGGTGATATGTTGATTTGGAATCATCTCATAACCATCTACTGGCATTTCAGGGAGTGTTACAGAAGCAGCAACTGGTGGAAGTGGATTGTCCTGCACACCTGAGATAAGTGGCTGCTAATGTGCCCTGTACACCTAGTAGTATAGTTTAGTGTTGTACAGCCAGCATTTCAACTGGTGGATCTGTGATTCTACCAGTGAAAACATAACACTTGTATGCAGCCTAAGCTACCTGACTCATGGTAACAAGGCAGTGCAGACCAAATATTATTGCTTGTCAATACTTCATAAAGTTACCTTTCTTAAATAAAAAGGTTTTTAGAATTAATTTGAATAATAAATACATGAAAGCAGCAATGGGATTCAAGTTGACTAATGGCTTGCATTAATTTGCAGATCTCTTATGGTTACAGTTATTTTCTCTTTCCTTAATAGCATCCACAGAATGCTACTGTAAAATCCTTGTTGCTGTCAGTTTATGGAATGAAGCTGTATTTCTGCAAATAGACAATACATTATTAGTTGATTTCTACTTGGTAGCTGCTTATAGACATGCTTGGGAAGCTTTGCATGTAACAGTATATGACTGTCATCTTGTTTAGGCACTGTGCACCTCAGTGACACTGGGCATTGTTGTACCTTATACAAATGTTGATTGGCTTAGTGCAAGCTTGGAGTTTGGAGCAGTCACACCAGTCACATCCAGACATGCACTTTAATGCACAGTAGCCTATTTTTCTGTGCATTAAAGCATCATGTCAAAAACCATGCTAATACACTAATGCACAGTAAAAATAAGCTACTGCGCATTAAGCATCCTTGAAAACCATGTGCTTTTGCTACTGCGCATTAGGGCAGCCTAGTGCACACTTATTTAGTACCTCACAATAGAACTACTAAATTTAACATGCAGTAGCAGAAGTTCATTAATGAATATGTAGATGCGCCCACCTTCAGCTTGAGTGGCACATCTGTGGGGAATGACTTTAATGGAACAGGAGCTGGGTAGTGTGGATCAAGAGATAATCCTGCCTTGGAGTGGTGTAACTTTGAGTTGTAGAACAAGTGTTTTAAGCCACTTTAAGGTGTTAATGTGCTGACAGTCCAGGGGTTAGGAGCTCCAGGTGCTGCCCAAAATTACCTTGTAACAAGGTCCACTGAGTATCTCATGTCATCTCACACCACCCAGCATAATAATACAAGAATATCAAACAATATGAAACGCCACTTCTTGTGAATGATGCTTCATTGGCGCAACAACTGGCTGTTTAGTTTGGTTTATTTGTTCAAACCCTTTTTTTTAATGTTCCTTTCTGCACAATATATTCAGTTCCTGAAATTCAGGCTTGTTTTTTCATCTGTTTAGGATTATAGTAAGGCTGGAAAGGATCTAATGCAGTCATCTATTGCAGGACCAGAGAATCAGGACAGGATCATAGGGTCAGTATCTGCCTAAACTTTTTGTGTCCCATTTGAACACGAGGAAGACCTACAGTGTCCAGAGATAAAAAGAAAAAAAGGGGCTAGGGGTTAAGGGCTGGATACTAAAGGTACTTGGAGGTGCAAATAATCATCTAGTAAGATTTTTTTTCAAGATGCCAGCTGCATATTGGGTATTTCTGGCAACTAGATACCAAAGCAGTCTTGAAAATCTTAACTGGTTTTTCTAGGTACCTAAATATTAACATCATTCTCCTAAATAAAGCATGTGTATTTTTTATACAATAGTGTAAGAGTGATGATATAGCCTAGGACTTATGCAAGAGGCAAGGATTTCTTAGGGTGATACCTCTTATTCGACTACCTGTGTAGTTGGGATGAAATTAGACAAGATTTCAAATGCAAGACATTCTTCATCAGGTCTCTGATCACAGGAAGCATAATGAAAAAACAGCAGAGGGGAGAAGCTGATAGAAATTCTTAGGGGTAGCAGACACACAATTAGCAGGAGAAAGGAAGCTGATTACTGGGATATCAAGGCCTGTCAACAGGGAGAAGGGTCATTTTCACCTTTCTTCTCACCTTTCTGTGGAAAGAATTCAGGAATTGCATAGAATATAATGTTCCATTAACCCAATCTCAATGTTTAGTTCTTGGTTCTTAATGTCTAGCCATCTTATGATGTTCCCAAGTTTGCCTTTTAAAGGTGTTAGGTAGATTTCTCTTGAGCACGAGGATAGTGAGGTGAGAAAGGGAGTGGTTGTTTTATGAGAAATGTGCTCCTACTGGTGTGTGCGTCTCTGTCCTTTATTTTTTTTCTGTGAGGGTTCATTCTGGTGCATAGTTGCTGTTTATTGTCACCCATGTAGTTGCCGTGAGGGCACTGGGTGCATTGGATCAAGTATATCACATTTTGGGAAAGGCATGTGTAGGAACCGTGGATTCTGATGGGGTTTTTAGGGGAGGCTGTTGATAGTAATGACAGTGGAGATGTGCTGACAGCTTACGCATTTCTTGCCAAGGAAAGGCTGTGTTCCACTTCATGTTTGTTGAGAAGCGGAGAGCTTACTTCTGATGATGAATTGGGCAAGGTTGGGAGGCTGTTCAAAAGCCAGGACCCTCTGCTGGCATCAAATGATTAGATTGCAGACATCAAATTAGCCATGTTACTTCAATTGGACTACCCTTTGCCTAAAATTAAATTCATTAATAAATGCTTGCAAGATAATGCAGGACTGTTCAACCGGAGGCCTAAAGGCCACATCCAGCCTGCAAGGGGTTAACTCACAGCCCCCATACTCACTTTCTGGATGCTTCTTTCCCCTCTTGTTCTTGCTCCTACCACTGGGGTCTCCATCTTCCCTGACCCTTTTCAAGCTTCTGCTTCCTCTCCACTGTGTTGAACAAGGTTAAAGGTATTGACACTGGATTTTAGGAACCCAGCCCTTATACCTTTATTCTGGGTGGGCACAACCGTCAGACCAACCACAACACCTGCCAATTGATAATAGGTGATTTTATTGATACAGAGTGACAACAAAAAACCTCCAATAATACAAGCAACCAAGCAATTCTATATCTACCAATCCTAGGGCCATCATCAGAGTCAAAGTACATCTGGTCAGGATGCAGGCTCCACTCTAAGGCTCTTTCTCTTAGGTGTCAGCAATCTGGAGGAGGGATGCCGAGGCCCACAGCCCCTCCAGTGGGGTGCATGAGACAGGCTGCTGGTATGCCCTCGGTCCATGGTGGCCTTGGGGACCCATCCTGGGGGATGGGGATGGAGATAGGGATGGGGAGCGACAAGGAGGAAGAGAAGGAGGGACAGGAAGGGACTCTTAGTTAATTTTAAGTCTCTTCAAGCCTCCAAATTGATTTAGAAAAGACTCAGAAAAAGATTCGGAGATTCAGAAGGCAGTCTTTCAAGGGAACAGAAACTGAGAAGAGGGAGGGAGAGCAGGGGAGGAAAGACTGACATCTGTAGCTGGCCAGTGACTGTGATCTTTCCCTGAGTCCCCTTCCAATCACAGTGTTCTGGGGGAGGGACGTAGAAACAGCACATAAGCCTCTATCTGCAGCCTTTCTGTCCCTTCTGTGAGCTGTTTCTGCCTGAGCAAAAGAGGCGTGAGTGCCTGGCCCAGAAACAGGTGGGTGAGCAGAGATCTAACTGGCACCGGGAAGGCCCCCTGTTACAGGCTACCATTCCTACTGTTTTCACCTGCTGTTTTCATCCAAATCTGCCTGAGCACACACAAGTGACACAAGTTTTGCTTTCAGCGGTTTGTTGTACAGTTTCCCAGAAACCCCTGCACCTATCTCCTTGAAACCTGCCAACTTTCATGCCCTCAGAAGGGGCTACCATCCCTGCTGTTTTCATCCAAATATGCCAAAAAATGTCAAAGTTATAGGTATTTCAGTGATTCCCCATTATAATCTATGCCCGAATCACTGAATCTCTCTGAATCAGCGCCGGATGTTCTGAACCTGATTCAGCCAAATTGATTTAGGACAGTGATCCGAATCTCCAAATCAAATCACTTTCCTCTGAACTGGCTGAATCCAAATCCAAATTGAGTACTTCCCTATTTGCACAGGCCTACTATAAGCCAATTCCCCAAAAGCAGGCCTTTAAATACCGTTTCTAAGCCAATAAAAGGGATGCTTGAAAGCTGGGAGCTGAGAGGCTGGGAATGTTTTTCTTAAGGTCTGATCTTTTTTGAGTATAGGCCGCAATTGGTGATTCTTCTGATCAGTTCCAGTGTGGGGTACAAGGTGACCACCTTGGGCGTGTGACTGCAGGGGGCTTCTTTTTGTATTGTAGGAGGTTACTGCTGGGGATTTGGAGAGCTCTTACAGATTGTATCTTAGATTGTACAATCTGATGTATAATCAATCTGTTTCTCAACTAGAGTGTCCTTGTATAAGGAATGTCTTGCATTTGAAAACTTGTCTAACATTATTCCAACCACATAATTGGTCCAATAAAAGTTATTACTCTAAGAAATGTTTGCCACTTGCATGTTTTTTTTCTACCTGCACTTGCCAAAAATATAAATGTAGTCAGGACAGTTAGGTATTTTAACTTGAATTTGAACAACCAATCACATTAACTGCCTGTTCAAATGACACATCGGGAGTTGTGAGGATAGAGATTCTAGTGGGGAGATTGCTCCTCACTCCTATTTTTCACTGTCTTTAACAGGTAAAGTCTATTAAAAGTATCAGTGACAAAGCCTGACCGGGACTTCAAGATGAGGAACACAGGGATGTTTTCTAGAGAATTCAGCTGGGGGTCATACAAGACCCCAACGGGTGAGTTCTGTGAAATGTTGTTTTTCTATATCAGGGTAAATTATTTCCTTCTTCAGAGGGATTTATTTGCCTTTGGACTATTGCTGGGTGTGTGTTACAACAATGTATCTTTGTTGGAAATTTATATAGACCTTTTCAGTGCTATAGTATCGATTAGTTCCTCAAAGAGCATCCTTGTGCTTGAACATCTCGGCTTATGAAGAAGGTAAGATTTTTACTGGCTCTTGGGAAGACTCAAACCAACTGACAGCCAGAAAAACAAAAAATAAAGCAAAACACATACACACAAAAAAAGCAGAATGATACATGGTGAAAGAGCAATGCACCCTTTGCTCCTGCTGTGAATCCAGCTGGTTATAGATTTAAGAAAATGGGTTGTTGTATTCTGTGTCTTAATCCTTGTTATTACTGTGTAAATGACTCCATCCAATTAAACTCTAATGTGTTGACTCTATTATGAGATGGCAGATTGTGCTTATGCTCTAGTGAGTACTGTAGCTCACTAGAAAATAGGTGTGCTCAAAGCATGATACTGCTTCATTCAAATTAATGGTGCAAACAAAATTACTTTCTCACTGTGCATATACTATGGGTGAGGTCCCCAGAAAGTGCTAAGCATTGGCTTAAGACCATTGTCATTGAAGTCTGTAGGAAATTTACCTCTTAGCTGTATCAGCAGTGAGTATGTTTTTGAAATCACACCTGGCGTGGTGCACACATGATCAGTTTTAGAGAAGTAGCGTGTGGTTAAAAAACTGGATTTGGACACAAGAGCTGTGAGGTGAGCTCCTCGTTCTATGACTGACTTCCTAAGTGACTCTTAAGCTGTCTGTGCCTCAGTCTGCCATCTGTAGAATGGGAATAAGAACATTTCCCAGTATTTGTTTCTGTTGTCTTGGAGTACAGACTCTATAATCTCTAGCCATGTATTTGTAAAGTGCCTAGTGCAATAGACCCCTGATATTGTTTGGGGTTTGTGGGTGCTATGATAATATTAACAATAATTTTAATACATTGCTCTTAAAAAAAGTTTGATTTTATTTTTTTTCAATCCTGTCTCATGGCCTTGTTTCTATTATGATTTATAAGATTAAAAGAGAAAAAAAGACTGCCAGTAAGTATATTCTTCTCAGCCACAGCCTTTCCTAATAAATGCCAAAGCATACAACATTGCTGAGTGAGGCATTCACAAAATGCTCCAAGTATTTGTACAGTTTGTTTTGCTGCACACTTTCCTAAAAGTAGACGTCCATGGAAATTCAGCAGGGATTATCCACCAAATCTGTACTGCAGTGATTCTCAACCTAGGTCCCACACACTGTTAGCACTGTTAGGTGTGTAAGCATGCTTCACAGGATAAACTCAGAGATTTCAGATAGGAATCCCTAGTGTTAGAAACTGCTCGGACCTGTTGTGGTCTTTGTGCCCTTTGCAACCGAAGAATTGCTCTACTATTTTTCTGTGGTCCAAAAACAAATGATAGCTAAGAGCTGGCATTTTCTGAGGGGTTGAGAACCAATGCTGTACTTAATAGGGTCATGACATTGAAAGGGTTGGCTATAGAAGTGATCACCCACAGGAACCAGTGGCTTTGAATTCTTACCTGTGCTTTCATTTGAATTTGCTAAATTTGCTTTCAAATCCTGGTCTTTCCTGGAAAAACTGGGATATTCAACCATCTAGTGCTCTGCAATAGCAGTTTGATAGTAGATCATAAACTTTTGCACATATTTTCAGGCTATTTTTAGGATTATTTCAAATCCTTTTAGTGGTGCTGTAAATATTTTCCATAGTTATTGGCTTGGTATTTACATGAACTTCAAAAGAACGATTTCAAAGCTACTTACTTTTTTTTTTCTGTTTCTCTAACTAATCAATACATGAAGTTCTGCTCAGGTAAAGAACAAAAAACCTGGAGAAGTTCAAAAGGAATAATCTTGATGCATTAAGAGAATAGAGCGCATGCTTAAAAAAGCTATTGATGTTGTTTGTTGACGCAGTGTTTCTCTGCAATTGTCTTATGATACATGTCCTATTTAAAACAGAGTAAACTTCCAGAAGTTGAGGGAAATGTAACCTATAGTAGTAGTGTAGTGGTGGGCCTTCTGGGATTTTTTTGAAGACCCAAGGTATTGTGTCATCAGTTTCCATGACCTAGATTCTTTCCCATCAAGATGCATTGGAAGTTTTGCCTTTAAATTCTGTATAGCAGGGTGCAATGTATTGGCTGAGATTCATATCATATATGTCCTATTGTTGCCCTCTCATATGTAGAGCTTGTACCTGCGCTCTATGGCCTAGTCTACCCATAGTTGACTGGCTACGAATAATAAATATGTGTGCTAAAGGCTTGAATGTGTATGGTTGAGGATTCTGGGTGGCTGAAATTATACTGAAAGGTGATAATTATCAGATGGTTCCCATGGAGATAGAAGGTACTCAGGATCCTTCAGAATCAATTGCTAGGCCTCTCTGCTAGGTGATCATTTCCCACAAAATATTTTAGAATTCTGTTTGGAGATTTTTAAATTGGAGTAATTGACTTCACCACTCGACTACGGTGGTTTTTCAAATTTACTTCAGCTTGATAAGAGGTCCTCTACATTATGTAGAAATGACTATATTGAAAGAGCAGTCTGATTATGGGTACACTAAGTGAAATTCCCTAGGAGCCGGGCGCATGTGAAAATCTGATTTTTTTTTATTTTTTTTTTATATATCTAGATGTAGTTCCATGAATTTAATATAGATGACAGTCATTTTCTTGCCAAGTGAGCACTGTGGCTTTCATCAAGCAGATATGACAAGCAAAATTAAAAGTTTTAACCACTGAGGAAGCCAAGTTTAAAGTTATTTTGCCACATTTTCTCAGCTCTAATGCTCTGTACATAAATCTTATATTTTACCTTTGTAATAGTGTGTGATGACAGAAAGACCTTATGTATGCCTGGCTCTTTTAAGGATATGGCCAACACTACATTAACATTTTTTTAAAAATTTCAAATGTATCTAATCCCCTGCATAGCATTAGAAATCCTGTTGTTCATCCCTGTAAATGTCTATGGCATGGAAGGATGCACATGGACTATTAATAGTAAGGAGGTAGAGTACTTAGTCGTTCTTCAAATTTTTCATAGAGTCAAATGAAATATGCCACTTTTTTTCCGGGTCATTAGTTTAAAATGTCCTTAAGTTAGGATAGCTGTGTTAGTCACGAGAACACTGTATTAGGCAACTTGAAAACTGAATTTATTATCAATTTTATGATGATTCCTTCAAGGATGTGGAATTTATAATACCCTTCCTTTTTGTTGAATGGTCTGCTTCAGCTTTCATAGGAAAATAGAAGGATTTGAAGATGAAATGAATGCTAACTTGTCTGTGGCCCTGCTTCACCTTACAGTTTTCATATGTGGCAAGGAACACACCCTCCCTTTTCTATTGTAAATCAGTGTCTTTGAAAAGACCCATTGAAATGGTACAATGGGCTACTGAGTTATTCTTCACTCTACTGATGAAAAACTTAAGCTAATTGAAAAATGAATCTCAGTGTTTCCAAAAAGCCAAGCTTCTTATCATTTTCATAATTAAAAAGGAAACAGAGAACATCTCTGGAGTTAGATTCCAGTTTTAGGCAGGCTTCTGCTGCAGTTAATCTTGGCATAGAGCACTGGGGTAGAAATATCTGTTACCAATCTTTATGCTAACTCAGTGGTGCGGTGCAGGTGGCCTGGCCAGTACAGTCTAAAACGTGCTTTGTTGGGATCAGGGTGTGGACATGGCAGTCAGGGAACGTGCTGATTCAGGGCATTCATAAGCCATCTCTTGAATGCTTCCGTGGAATCTGCTTTGGTTATTAACACCTTTGCTGCAGCAGTTATTATACCTCTTTCCAAAGTTGGGAAGACCTTGCAGGGGTGAATCTTATTAGAAAGGGTTTTGCTGGTTCAGGGAAGATGCATATTACACCAGAATCTGCTCCTGCAGATGAAATGTAACAGAAGAGAAAAAAATACTTCAGAGCACTTGCTGCAAGGCTGGTAAATCCTCCTAAGAGAAGAATTTCATGCATTATTAATTTGTCACATTACATCTTTTTGAAAGTGATATATTCCTGAAAAGTCTTGCTTTATGGAGTTCAAAAGTTTCAGTTTTGTGTTGGAATCTTTCCTGTGCTTTCCATCCTTTATGCGACTCCTTTTCATCCCATGTGAACTTAGTTTCTACAGAGTCTTAGAAATCAGGTCTCAAGGAGAGGAGTGTACAGTCTCTGTCCATCCTGGCTAACAGCATTAATGTGAACACCAGCTGCACACTATTTGCAAGGCTAATATAGTGCAGTATTTAAGAGTGGCATTTTTGTAGTCAGTACAGTTGGAAGCATTATTATCCTAAGCCTTTCATATAAGGGCTCTGAATAAAGAAGAGTGGCACTATTCATATAACAATTGTAAAGAGGTGAACATGGGAAGTTTTCTTGGCCTCAGAACAAAGCAAAATGCTCTTTCTTTCATGGTGTGCTGCTATGGATGCTTCACTCCAGACACAGCTAGTCTGATTCACTACGAGAATGCTTAATAAAATTCAAACAAGTGCTATTTTCTATCTTGATAGCTACCTGCATGAAGCACTTCTGTTTTTATAGGTTTAGAATATCTGGATTACTTGAAGTTTATGCTCAGTTGCCTAATTTGGTGCAATTGTACAAATGGGGTGGAGGGAGGGAAGAAAAGTTCAAATAATAATGCATGTCGTTATAAAACAGAAAAAGTATCCAAGTATCCAAAATACAGCTGAAATATTTGTTTAACAGACAGAGTATTTGCATTTTTTTTATTACCAGCTAGGCGAAACAGAAATGCAGTTCTCCATTAAAACTAATAAGATGTGTGTATTTACAGCTCTCTAATCAGCTCTGAAAGTGTCAGCCATCGCTTCTGTAATTTTTGGCATAAGGTCTATATAGTACTTTTTGCTTTTAAAAGTGAGAGGCTCTGCTGAAATACAAGCATTTTGTGGGTTAGGTATTTTCTTTTTTTTAACATCCAGTGCTTCAACATCCATTTGTAGATACACTTGGATAATGGAATAATGGCATTCTTTACTGCTGGGTTTGCCACTGTCTTTTTTCCCAGTCACTGTGTTAATGTCTGCTCATTGTCTGTTCATTTAGCCATTTTGCCTCTCAAAATTTATTGACACAGGGGTTGTTGTTCTGCTATCTGGTGATCTCAACTGGTTTTACTTTCTGGCTTTCTTCTTCCAGGCTGAGCTTGCAGCTGGAGCAGAGGGGATGAGAGGTGCCAAAGGATGCTGAGAAATAGGAAGAATCTTTTTGCTGAGAAAACTGAGTCTGCTAATAAGAGGTGTAATTTATACACCTGATCTAGTGAAATCTCCTCAACCAACCAACCCACCCTGGAGTTTAACACAGAAATGTCATGACACCGCTTGATGGAAGGTAAAACTCTTAATTTTTTATGTTGCAGACAGTCTTCTGACTTAAGGTATTAGTTTGATCAGTAAGAAACGGAATTTCACTCCAGCCCCAACCACCTGCCATTTTCCTGGTTTTTCTCCCTGAAGATTTTACCTTTGTTTTCAAAGACCTCCCCCATGGTTTGTGTAACTACAAGGTGTTTTCTCTTCTGATCAAGTGCTTCAGGATTCAGTAGTCTCATTATTTCAGTTCAGATGGAATAAGATTAAGCTACAACTTAGAAGTACCACTATTGCATTTGCATTAAAAGAGGGGTCCATACTACAACGTGGCAGAGATTTGTAGTCATGCTTTTTTTTTTTTTTTATTTATTAGGGGATCTACCAGGGTTATCTGTAGTGGCCAGCAGTACCAACATACCATAACAATACCAAAGTACCAAAATACCTTTTTCATGATATTCAAGAAGAGAAATGGAAGCACTACAAATCATGTAAAAAGCCCAACCTTGGGAAGTTTTCATTTAAGTTTTCAGTCTCAGGCAAGTTGGATGGTTTTGGATAATAATGAGAGAAAAGTGAGACATGTTTGATGATGCACCAGCACTGAATCAGGACTCTCAACCTTTTTGAGTTTTGCCCATTCTTGGTGCTGAGCGAAGAGTCCAGATGGCACCTGGGTATCTTTTTCAGGAAACTCTGGATTCCTAGGAGAGAATTGCAATGGTAACAAAACATTGTTAAGATGCTGTAAGGCTTTTTTTTGTCCGTAGCTACTTGGATCAGTCCTGCTGTGTTTTTAGTTAAAATAACATTTCAGATGCAAGGAATCACAGTGCCTTCCTATCACAACCTAGCTTACATTTTAAGTCATTTGGCATAAAATCAAAGATTTTTGAAAGTGTTTGAAAATAAGCAGAAGGTTTTCCCTCACTCTGTTGCTTACTGGACCTTTGTAGTTGAGATTTTGATATCTTTTTGGTAATGCTGCTGGATTTGTCTTTATTTCTTCATGGGCTTCTCAGTCCATTGGGAATACAGAAAACCTGAAGAACTGAAACAGTCTTGAAATGCTTTCTCTTCCATCAAGAAACACAGCATGTCCTTTCAAAGCTTAATTGAGCAGCACAAAGCTAATTAGCTGTCCGAAGACATGCCATTTAATTCACAATCCAGCATTAATTTGTTCTACAGAATGAGCTTATCTCATATATAAATGCCTTTGCCCTGTGGCTTTCCAAGCAGCTGCAATATACAAAAAAGACTGATAACTCTGTCATTTAAATGTTGCTTGTTTCCTTCACTTGTGCATAAAATACCAAATTGCACGTGAATTGTAACTAGAAAGTTTTAGTTGTCAGAAGCAAAAAGGGATCTCTTTGGTTATTTCTGTTGTAATTTTATTCTTCTATATCTGGGAATAATACTCGCACTTTGGGATAGAAAATAGTCGTTAGGGGTTTTAGGCTAGACTATCTTTTACAATTTGCTAATCTAATGTGTAATTTTGATGGTGTGTTGAGCAAATTGTTTCAAAGCTTTTCATGGATAGAAACTAATTGCCTTATCGTTTTCCTTATTGTAAAAATCCCAAGTATATTTGCTAAGCCATTATTACCCAGGAGAATCACTCAAGCTAATATGGAACTTTATGTTGCTAATTTTTGAAGCATACAATATCATTTTCAGAAACTACTTAATGAACCCTTCTCCTCCCCATCATTAGTAAGAAACTGATGATTTTCTCTGGATGTGTATTAAGGGAGCTTGTGAAGTTTCATGTCTTAATGCTAAAACCTTGCTTGTACATCTTGTCTGTTGTTGAACTCAGCGTTCTTGCAGATTCTTGCAATAAATCTCCCTTCCCCCCAATATGAATTACCATTTTGTACTTAAAACTTTTTTACAGAAATCTAATGAGCTCGCCCACTGGAAAAGAAGCTTGGAATATTTCTGTTTCCCGCATAACCAAAGCTACACATACTTGATTTTTTCTTATGTCTTGGCAGTGTCTCCTTCTGCCTGTTCCTTTTCTCATTTATATGAAACCCTTTCTTTATGCCAGTCCATTCACAGCATCTCACAAGTAGGTGGTTGCCTACAAGAGTACATGCCTCTTTGAACCAGGTAATAAGGTGCCACCTGGTCCTACCTTCCACCTGACTTCCGACTGCTATGGTCAACCACCTCACTTATCACTGCATAATCACTTAAAAGGACAAGATGTTGAATGAATTGTTCCTTCCTGAATGTCTGTGACACGAAGTTCAGAGTTTCTTGCCTGGTATTCCAGCTTTTATGCAGTTTCTGAGTACCCCTTGAAGCAAGCCTCAGGCATAGCTCCTGGAAGGGTGACCCCTGCGCCTCCTTTAACTTGAAGTTTGGATTTTCAGAGAACTCGCCTCATCAGGGAGCCCAAACTGTCTAAGCTCCTGTTAGGGATGTTGCCTTTTAAGGGAAATCTGATGTGCCATAATTTTTGCACAGCAAAGGTAATACTATTGTATTTTTACACCTGCAATAGTCCTAGATTTCTCAGGGCTTGTTACTTTTACAACAGACGCTCCATCATGCCAAATTGCAGTGGGAATTCACTTTGGTTGATGCTTTTCATGTTTGTTTAAGCATCCAGGTCACTTCTTTGCTTCCCACTGAACTTTCCTGAAGAAGTGATGACAGTATAGGTCGCCAGGTTTTTGGTGAGTGGTTGGTTTGAATACCAATGTTGTGGTTCCCCAAAGCTCTCGCATCTGTTGCTTTACTAGGATATGGGAAACTGGGGCAGGCAGACTAGATCAAATGGAAATGGGAGGAAAGCTTTATGGCAGGGTGGGATAGAAGGGGCAAAAAGGCAGGCAAGCTTTCGGGTTAGCCTGCAGTCCCTGCCCCTTGCCAGGACCCTCCAGACTAAAACCTAATCTGAATCCACATTGAGCAATAAGTGATAGGAAATAAAAGTTTATCTTGTATTGGCATTGTTCATGTTATACCTTTATCATGGGTTGCTTCTCCACTCAAGGATCATGGAAGCTGGAATGGAATTCCTTCCTTCCTTTCCTCCGTGCAGCCGGTAAGGAGGATTGCATTTTTGTTTGAGGCTGAATTTTCAATTTGGTATAAGAGATCTTTTCTGCAGGCCCAAATATCAAAGGCAGACAAGGTACATTTGCTTTACATTGCATGAATGCAAAGTTGCGCTCATGTCTTTTTGTCTCTGAGTCATGACTTGTGTGACAAAGCCACTCCTGGCTGCTTGCCTGCGCACGTCTTTCTGGAATCCTAGGAAAATGGACACGTCTAGAGAAAACAGATGTAAATGACATTAGTGTCAATGTGTTGCGAGTCCAAGCCATCACTAACTGCTCTTCATACTGTGCTTGGGTGAGTGGTTTTAAAACAATCCTGGTACTGTTCTGAGGTTGGCCCATCTGAGCCTCTGAAGTGAAATGCCTACATCTGTAGACTGTGCAAAGCACAGTTGTGTGTGGTTCTTCCTCAGCAGGGGGGCTATATTAGCCTCTGCTTGACTCCAACATCAGTGGGGTGAAAACTAAGTGGAAGCGTCTTGCCACTGCCACCTCCTGGGGTAGGAAGTTGGGCAAATCTGGAATGTCTTTCTCATTGTTTCTTGCACAAGGAATGAAGTGGTTAACAGAATTGGCATTTACTTTTTCCTCAGTGGGTGTTTAAGACTTCACTGAGAATAGAGATGATCACAGCTCTCAAGGCTCTGTTGTTGCCGGCTCTCTTCTGACTTTCCTCCTTGCTCCACATTTGTAAGGTTTTCTTTGAAATTAAAATAGATAATTCTTTTAAAAAATGAAACTGTAGACTCTAGCGAAGACAATAGTAGCTCTGGAGAGCCCACACCAAGTATGGGTGTAAGGCCAAAGCAGGCCCTAGCTTATGCACCTTTCACAAATACATTAAATTCTTCAAGGGAGTGATATTTCTTTCTCCTTTTTGGAAGGCCAGTGGTTTGTGCATGTGTGCATATGTGTGTGAGAGCATGTACATTGTTTGAGCCTCAGCATGATCTAACATCAGACTAGACCATATCAAATTCTGTTAGGGTATTGCTGGGAAGGAGCGATCATGGGCGGGGGATTGCTTGGTGGGACAGGGAGGACAAGTGGAGCCATGGGTGTTCAGGGAATGAAAAGGGACAAGAACAAGGAAGGTTAAAAGGAAGCAAGAGGTATTGCTCTCTTTGTCAAATTGTATTTGCCTGCAGATGTGCTATCCCAAATCAGCTCATACTGTTGGATTAGCCCTGGCTTAAGCCAACCCTGAAATATGTGGTATTAAAAGGAGGCATTCCCTACATGGAGTTCTTGTTTCATCCACTGAAGCTGCTGGCACTTAACTCTGTAACGCGGGTGGTATGTGGAAGGTGGTACCCCCCTCTTCAATTGGAAGGGATGTTAGTGGGAATGTATATGCTGTGGGGGCATGGCTGCCTTGCTGTAGGCCAGCTCACCTCCTTCCCTACAAAGCAGGCCAGACCAGACCAGGAATCACAGTAATTCTTAACTATGTACAGATTTAATGTTACACAATAATAGATAACTTACAGCCATAAACCTACACACACACACACCACACACACACACTATTTACAGATATTAATTCACCCAGACAAAACTCTAATTAACCCTGAACTCCAGCATAGGCCTAATTCCCTGTGGCTTTTGGGTTAGCCTGAAGTCCCTACCCCACACTGGGGCCCTCCAGCCCACGGTGGGGAGGGGCACTCAATGATAAAACAGAGGTTAATCAACAGACCAATGAATAAACAGGCAGTGGTGGGTCAATAATTAAACATATGCAATAAGGGTACATCAACTAGAGCATATATACCCAAAGATAATCAATACAGCCCCAATGCAGGAGTACCTGACAGTGATAGGACAACATACGACATATGCAATAAGGTTACATCAAATAGAACAAATATACATACAATAACCAATTCATACAAATACAGGGCAGCTGATAATTCTCTTCTAATGCAACAATGAA